GGGGGGTTCCCTGCCCCCTAGCGCCCCATAGGGGCGGTTCCCTGCCCCATAGCGCCCCTCGCGGTGGGTCCCGCAGGCTCGCGGCTCGGCGCCATGCTGGACATGCTCACGGACCGGCTCTCCTCCATGTGCCTGCTCCTCAACCTGGCCCTGCTCTACCCCACGGCCGCGCCCCTCTTCCAGCTCAGCATGGCCCTGGACGTGGCCAGCCATTGGCTGCACATGCACTGGTGGGCGGGGCTTCGGGAGGGAGGGGCTTAAAGGAGGGAGGAGCTTAAGGGAGGGAGGGGCTTAATGGGAGCGAGGGGCTTAAAGGAGGGAGGGGGTTAACGGGAGGGAGGGGATAAAGGGGCTTTGCCCCAGCAGGGGGCGGAGCCTGCTCCTTAGGGGGCTGGGCTTTCTGGCACGTGCAGCCAATAAGGAGGTGGGGATGGGGTGGGCGTTTCCCGCGCTGACCCCGCCCCCTTCCGCAGCACCACCCTGGAGGGGGGGCGGAGCCACAAAGCAGTGGGGGGGACGACGCACCCCGTGCTGAGGCTGTACTACAGCTCCAAGGTGAGGGGGGAAGGGGAGGGGCTTGAAGGGTGGGAGGGGCTTAAAGGGTGGGAGGGGTTTAATAAGCGAGAGGGGCTTAAATCGGAGTTTAGAGGGGTGGGAGGGGCTTAAAGGGTGGGAGCGGCTTAAAGGGGTGGGAGGGGCTTCCAGAGTCCCCCTCACTCCCCATTGACCCCCATTGTGTCCCCGTCCCCCCCAGGCGCTGCTGTTCCTGCTTTGTGCAGGCAATGAGGGGTTCTATGGGTGCCTTTACCTGCTGCACTTCGGGGAGGGGCCGGCCGGTGAGCACGGGGCGGGGGGAATGGGGTGGGAATGGGGGGGGAATGGGGGGGAATGGGATGGGAATGGGGGAGAATGGGGGGGGAATTGGGTGGGAATGGGGGGGAATGGGGTGGGAATGAGCGGGAATGGGATCTGATAAACTGGAATGGACTGGGAGGGGAATGGGATGGGCTGGGCTATACTGGTGGTGTCACTGGGCTATACTGTGCCATGTGGGGTTTATACTGGTCTATGGGGGTCTGTGGGGGTCTCTGATGGTGTGTTTGCCCCCTGCAGTTTTGCCGGGGGGGCCGGGGCTGTTCCGGGCCATGCTCTGGGTCACGGCCCCCTTGGCCCTGCTCAAAGGGGCCCTGAACCTGGTGCAGCTCGGGGGGGCGGCGCGGAGGCTGGCAGCGATTGACCGGGCTGAGCGCGCCAAGGGGCAGTGAGAGCTGGAACGGGCTGAAAACGGGCAGAAACGGGCAAAACCACCCCGGGAACAGCCAGAAACGGGAAAAAACACCCCAGAAACAGCCAAAAATGGGCAAAAACACCCCGGAAACACCAAAAAAGGCCCTAAAACCTCCCCCAGCTCCTTCCAAACCCCACACCCCACTCCATGGACTCAAACCCCCTCAGGGACCCCAAACCCCCCCCTTGGACCCCCCCCCGAAGGACCATGCAGGACCCCCCCATTAAAGTGGTGCTGCCCATGCGCGGTGTCTGAGTGGTGGCAATGGGGGGCAGTGGAGTCCCCCCTGCCCTATAGACCCCAATTGACCGCACCACTCCTCACTCAGCCAATCAACACGTGTATTTAATATGACGTCACGCCATCTGTGAGAGGTGTGTGTGCGTTTTATGCCAGCAGGGGGCGCTGCTTGGCGGTGCAAGCCGTAGGGGGCGCTCTTTGGCGGTACAAACAGCAGGGGGCGCTCTTTGGCGGTATCAGCAGCAGAGGGCGCTCTTTGGCGGTACAAACAGCAGGGGGCGCTGTTTGGCGGTAAAAACAACAGGGGGCGCTGCTTGGCGGTGTCAGGAGCAGGGGGCGCTGTTTGGCGGAGTCAGCAGCAGGGGGCGCTCTTTGGCGGAGTGATCAGCAGGGGGCGCTGTTTGGCGGTACAAACAGCAGGGGGCGCTGTTTGGCGGTGTCAGCACCAGGGGGCGCTGTTTGGCGGTACAAACAGCAGCGGGCGCTGTTTGGCGGTGTCAGCAGCAGGGGGCGCTGTTTGGCGGTGTGAACAGCAGGGGGCGCTGTTTGGCGGTGTGAACAGCAGGGGGCGCTGTTTGGCGGAGTCAGCAGCAGGGGGCGCTGTTTGGCGGTGTGAACAGCAGGGGGCGCTGTTTGGCGGTACAAGCAGCAGGGGGCGCTGTTTGGCGGTGCCAGCAGCAGGGGGCGCTGTTTGGCGGTACAAGCAGCAGGGGGCGCTGTTTGGCGGTGTGAACAGCAGGGGGCGCTGTTTGGCGGTACAAACAGCAGGGGGCGCTGTTTGGCGGTGTAAACAGCAGGGGGCGCTGTTTGGCGGTACAAACAGCAGGGGGCGCTGTTTGGCGGTGTCAGCAGCAGGGGGCGCTGTTTGGCGGTGTGAACAGCAGGGGGCGCTGTTTGGCGGTGCCAGCGGCAGGGGGCGCTGTTTGGCGGTACGAACAGCAGGGGGCGCTGTTTGTTTGCACCAGCGGCAGGGGGCGCTGTTGGGGGGCGCTGTGGGGCGCCGTCAGAGGCGGCGGATCTTCATCTCGCTGCGCTTGAGCGAGTAGTGGAAGCCCTTCCAGCGCGCCCAGTTGAGGCCGTTGCCGTAGGAGAGGTGCGCCCCCCCCAGGTAGAAGCCGTTGAGGTTGGAGAGGTGGCAGCTGCGGAACCACCAGGCCCCCGAGGAGAGCGCGGCGCAGCTCTGGGCGAACAGGTCCTGGTCCCGGTCGAACGTCGAGAACTTCTGCCCGTGGTGGTAGCTCAGGGCGTCCCCTGCGGGCAGCGGCGGCGCTGTGGGGCTGACCCATACTCGTATGGGGCTCTATGGGGCCTGACCCATAAGTGAGGTCCTGATCTATAAGTGTGCTGCCCCATAAGTGGGGGTTCTGACCCATAAGTAGGGGGCTCTATGGGGCCTGACCCATAAGGGGGGGTCCTGAGCTATGAGAGTGCTGCCCCATAAGTGGGGGTTCTGACCCATAAGTAGGGGGCTCTATGGGGCCTGACCCATAACGGGGGGGGTCCTGAGCTATGAGAGTGCTGCCCCATAAGTGGGGGTTCTGACCCATAAGTAGGGGGCTCTATGGGGCCTGACACATAAGGGGGGGTCCTGAGCTATGAGAGTGCTGCCCCATAAGTGGGGGTTCTGACCCATAAGTGGGGGTTCTGACCCATAAGTAGGGGGCTCTATGGGACCTGACCCATAAGGGGGGGTCCTGAGCTATGAGAGTGCTGCCCCATAATTGGGGGTTCTGACCCATAAGTGCGGGGCTCTATGGGGCCTGATGCATAAGTGGGGTCCTGATCTATAAGAGTGCTGCCCCATAAGTGGGGGTTCTGTCCCATAACTGGGGGTTCTGACCCATAAGTGGGGGCTCTATAGGTTCTCTATAAGAGTAGGCCCCACTCCAGGGGTCTCCATGGATCTCAGCCCCATCTCTGGGTCCTGCCTCTGTGTGTATCTCTCACCCCTCAAGTGTGGGTCATGCTATGGGACCTCTATGGGTCTCACCCCTTAGCTATGGGTCTCATCCTCCACTGCTGCACCCTGTCCCGTAAGTGTGGGTCCTGCCCCATACCCCATTTATGCCTCTTTCCTCCCTATGGGTTCAGCCCCATAAACGTGGCTCTTTCTACGTGCCTGCCCCCCAAGCGTGGGTCCCGCGGCCGTACCTGCGCCCCCGTCGCGGAAGCCCTGCACGTGCAGGCTGTACCCGTCCTCCTCGGCGCTCACTGCGCCCGGCGCCAGCGCGAAGGAGCCGTAGGTGGCGGCGGCCGAGTTGTTCTGGAAGTCCTCGAGCTCCACGCGCAGCTCGTAGGGGGCCTGCAGGGTCAGCAGGTGCAGGGTCTGCAGGCCTAGGGGGGACAGAGGGGATAGGGGCGGCCGTGGGGACCATGGGGGGGCTATGGGGGGCTACAGGGGGGCTATGGGGGGGCCTATGGGGGTCTACAGGAGGGCTATAGGGGGCTATGTGGGGTCTATGGGGGGCTATGATGGGCTACAGGGGGGCTATGGGGAGTTATGGGGAGTGTATGAGGGGTGTATGGGGGTCTATGGGGGGCTATTGGGGGCTATGGTGGACTATGGGGGGCTATGGGGTCTCTATGGGTGTCTATGGGGGGTGTATGTGGGGTCTGTGGGGGGCTATCGGGGGATATGGCAGTCTATGGGGGATATAGAGGGTTTGGGGGCTATGAGGGGCTATGATGGGGCTGTGGGGGGGCAAAGGGGGGTTGTGGGGGGCTATGGGGGAGCTATGGGGGTTCTAGGGGGGCCTACGAGGGTTCTAGGGGGGCTATGGGGGGACTGTGGGGGGGGCTATGTGGGGTCTATGGGGAGGCTATGGGGGGTCTATGGGGGGCTATGGGGGGCTACGGGGGGGCTATGGGGGGTCTATGTGGAGTGTATGGGGGTCTATGGGGGGCCTATTGGGGGCTATGGTGGACTATGGGGGGTTATGGGGGGCTATGGGGTCTCTATGGGTGTCTATGGGGGGTGTATGTGGGGTCTGTGGGGGGCTATCGGGGGATATGGTGGGCTATGGGGGCTGTAGAGGGTTTGGGGGCTATGGGGGGCTATGATGGGGCTGTTGGGGGGCAATGGGGGATTGTGGGGGGCTATGGGGGAGCTATGGGGGTTCTAGGGGGGCCTACGAGGGTTCTAGGGGGGTCTATAGGGGTCTATGGGCACCTATGGGGGTCTACATGTGCTATGGGCGGCTCTGGGGGTCTATGGTGCGGGACACGGGGTAGGTTATGGGGCAGAGTGTGGGTCTGCGGGCCCCTATAGGTCCGTGTGGCGCTCACCCAGCCAGTACTCGCCGTCGGCCCTCCCGAAGCCCCTCTTGTAGTCATCCCAGCCGCGGAAGAAGCTCACGGAGCCGTTGAAGCGCTTCTGGAACACCTGCAACGGGAGGGGGCGCTGTGGGGCGCTATGGGGCAGCCACACGGGGGCGCGCTAGCAGTCCCTCCGGGCCGCCAGGGGGCGCCGTTGTGCGGTGGGGTGGGCGGGTACCGTCCAGACGTGCCCCTCCGTGCTCATGTCGCAGTAGACGGGCACGGGCGCGGCGGCGCCCCCTGCAGGGTAGATGAGGTGGACGCCGTCGGAGCGCGCGCCCCCCGCGTGCACGTCCTGGCAGTCCCGGGGGGGCAGCGGCGGGCACGAGCCGGGGGGGGCTGCGGGGGGGCGGAGAGGGGAGTCAGTGGGGTCCTGATTGAGGCCTATGGGTCCCCATGGGTCCCTATGGGTCCCTATGGGTCCCTATGGGTCCCTATGGGTCCCTATGGGTCCCTATGGAGGCCTATGGGTCCCTATGGAGCCCTATGGAGCCCTATGGAGCCCTATGGAGTGAGTGGGTCCCTACGGAGCCCTATGGGTCCCTATGGGTCCCTATGGGTCCCTATGGGTCCCTATGGAGCCCTAAGGAGCCCAATGGGTCCCTATGGAGGCCTATGGGTCCCTATGGGTCCCAGTGGAGCCCAATGGAGTCAATAGAGTCAATGGAGTCAATGGAGCCCAATGGGTCCCTATGGAGCCCTATGGAGTCAGTGGATCCCAATGGAGCCCAGTGGGTCCCTATGGAGCCCAATGGAGCCAATGGAGCCCTATGGATCCCAATGGATCCCTATGAATCCCTATGGATCCCAATGGAGTCAATGGAGCCCCATGGATCCCTATGGAGCCCTATGGATCCCAATGGAGTCAATGGAGTCAATGGAGCCCCATGGATCCCTATGGAGCCCTATGGATCCCAATGGAGTCAATGGAGCCCAATGGAGTCAATGGAGCCCAATGGATCCCTATGGAGCCCTATGGATCCCAATGGAGTCAATGGAGCCCTATGGAGCCCAATGGAGCCCAATGGAGCCCAATGGAACCCAATGGAGTCAATGGAGCCCAATGGAGCCCATAGAGCCCATATACCCTGTGTATCCCATATACCCCATATCCCTATATCCCATATATTCTATATATAACCCATCTATCCCATGTTCCTATACCCCGTATATCCCACTTACCCCATATACCCCATGTATCCCATACATCCCACATCCCTACATCCCATATATTCCATATACCCCATA